GGTTTGAATCCTGCCATGGCAGATGGTGGAATTTGAATTCAATAAAAATCTGGAATTAAAAGTCTAATGATGACCTTGAATCCATTGCCGATTGTCAGGAAAAACCCGCCTGGTTCACTAATGTCCTTCAGGGAAGGAAACTGCCATCCTTACCTGCTCTGGCCTACATGTAACTCCAGACCCACAGCAAATTAGCTGACTCATAACTGCCCTCTGGGCAATTAGGGATGGGCAATAAATGCTGCCTAGCCTACGATGCCCTCATTTTGTGAATGAATTAAAAATTAAATTTTTAAAAATGTAATGAATATAGGGGTGTTATATTCAGTAACATGCCAAATATATCTGTATTAAATCATATAAATAAAAAGTTTGCTTACATGCGTAGACGTCACTTATTACAGACTTAAACCATACATAACTTCTGAGGAGCAACCTAGACCTCCTAATATTTACAGTTCCCTCACCAAGCAGTTTAACTCCACATGACCTCACCCTGCTTACTTAACAGGAGACAGCTCCAATTTAGCAAAATAATATATAGTACATTGCAAGGTGTAATTTTCTTGACCTCACAAAACAGCATGTCATCTGGTTTACCAGGCGTAACACACAGGTGATTGTTAGCATTCAACAAAATAGTTTGTGCAGTCAGCATGTGATTGTCCGTCACATTTCAGGTGTCTAAATCTACATTTCTACATCATGTGTGCATTCATTTGACTCAAATTTCATATATACAGAATGGCAAAGACACCTGGCTGTCACCCTACAATTGCCATACTTGTTATAGGTGCCACCTTGTTATAGGTGCAAAGCACCCAACAAGAGCAGGAACACCAGTCATTGACCTGAATCCTGAAATTTACAAGCCAATTCGAGAAACAAGCACAGAAAATGCTGGAGAAACTCAGGTTGGAGTGACCTGCCTTCTTGAACCACTGCAGTCCATTTGGTGCAGGTACATCTACAATGGTGTTAGGAGGGGAGTTCTAGGATTTTGATCCAGTGCCATTAAAGAAATGGCAATATATTTCCAAGTCAAGATGTGATTGGCTTGGTGGTCTATCTGCTGCTCTTGCCTGTCTAGATGGAAGTTAACATAAGTTTGGAGGTTTTGCAATCAAGCATCCTAACTGAGCTCACAGCCCTAGAATACCTGTGAGCAATGTCGCAAGAGATGCAATAAATAAATGAACATTCTACCTATTAACATACGAGGAAGTATGTATTAATTAAGAGCACTCTGCTCAGCAATACTCCATGTTCTGTTATTAACGTATACAAGATTGATTTTTGCTAAAAGGAGAAAGTGTTTTAATGAGAAAATTCAAAAAGACAGACATGCCCTTTTGTGTTCTCAAAATGTCCTTACAATTCCTCCTGAACTATTAAGACTCTACTGTGGTATATGACAGGCATCCTTTGCAGTCAATGGCACTGCTTGCCACGGAATTTTGCTTTTCATTTTGAGCACTGTGCAAGGAAAGGGAGCAGGCAGGATGTACAAATATTAATGGTTTGATACTTTGGCCTTTACATGCAGGGCAGTACCCTACTACACCCATATATGATAAACACACAGCAGGGTTTGCTGGAAATACCCACAAGACTCATCAGCACCTGTAAAAAAGAAAGGACAGGTTTGCCCCCAATCTCCCAACCATCTCTCTTTATAAAGGCGTTAAGGTACTTATTTGAACAATGGCCTTCACCCTTGTATCTGAACAATGCAATTAACATACCCTAAACAAATGGGACTAAAAACTGGAAAGTCACTCAACACAGATGACAAGTGTAAAGGGAAGTTGGGGAGGAGATATTGAAGCATGAGTTTCCAAAACCGCTTATAAACGTGAGTTGTGCCAAGGAATTTGAGGATGGCATACATTCCACTCCCATTCAGAAAAGAAGAACTGGATAAGCCATAAAATGATAGGATAATTAGTTTTTGGTTTATTGTGAGTAAACTGGGAAGAGCGAACAATGTGAAACTTACAACCATCATTGGTAGCAAGCCATTCCGTGTTCTGGTAATTCTCTGCGTGGCAAATGTCATTTAACTTTGTTCATCTTCTAATGATGCTGAGAATTGATAGAAGTACCAGACACTGTAATATAATTTTAAAAGCATTTGGATCAATATTTGAAAAAGAAGGTATAGGGAAAGATCAGGGAAACCAAATTGGAGTAGAATGCACCAGTTGAAGAGCTAGCACCAATTCTGCCATGGTGGGCCTAATGGCCTGCTTTTGTGTGATTTCTGTCCATGAAACTATACTTGAGCGAGAATCAGTGTTTCCAAGGCTGGGGATGGGAAGTAGCTGATATGTGGAAAACATTGAGGAGTCATAAGATAAGAGCCCATGGTGTTGGTAGTATATTAGCATGCATAGAGAATTGGCTAATGGACGGGAAACAGCAAGTGGGGATAAAGGGTTCTTTTTCAGGTGGGCGACGGTTAACCCTTGGGTAAAAACTGAAAGAACGGCAGATGTTGTAAATCAGGAACAAGAACAGAAATTGATGGAAAAGCTCAGGTGGTTTGGGAGCATTTGTGAAGAGAAATCAGAGTTAATGTTTCGGGTCCGGTGACCTTTCTTCAGTTCTGAGAGAGGCGATGGCCTAGTGGTATTATCGCTGGACTATTAATCCAGAGACCCAGACAGCATTCTGGGGACCCAGGTTTGAATCCCGTCAAGGCAGATGCTAGCATTAGAATTCAATTCTAAAAATCTGGAATTAAGAATCTAATGATGACCGTGAATCTATTGTCGATTGTCAGAAAAACCCGTCTGGTACACTGATGCCCTTTAGGGAAGGAAACTGCCATCCTTACCTAGTCTGGTCTACATGTGACTCCAGGCCCACAGTAATGTGGTTGACTCTTAACTGCCCTCTGGGCAATTAGGGATGGGCAATAAATGCTGCCTAGCCAGCAACACCCTCATCCCATTAATGAATAAAACAAAAAGTGGGCAAAAAGTTGGCAAATGGAGTACAATGTGGGAAAATGTGAAGTTGTTCATTTTGGAAGGGAGAACAAAAGAACTGAGCATTGCTTAACTGAAGAAAAACTGCAGAAAGCTGCAGCACAAAGGTACTTAGGAGTACTTGTGTACATAACACAGAACGCTAGCAGCAGGTAATCAGGAAGGCATATGGAATGTTGACCCTTATTTCAAGGGGTTTAGAGTATAAGAGTAGGGAAGTCTTACTGCTACCGTACAACGTGCTGGTGAGACCACATCTGGAGCACTGTGAGCAGTTTTGTTCTACTTATTGAAGGAAAGATATTATTTCATTGGAGGCAGTTTAGAGAAGGTTTACTAGGATGATCCCTGGTATGGAGGGATTGTCTTATGAGCAAAAGTTAAACAGGTTGGGATTTGACTCATTGGGGTTTAGAAGAATGAGAGGTGATCTCATTGAAACATACAGGATTCCTAAGGGGCTTGACAGAGCAAATCCTGAGAGGATGTTTCCCCTCATGGGAGAGTCTAGGACCATAGGACATAGTCTCAGAATAAAGGGGCACCGATTTCGGACTGAGAGGAGGAGGAATTTCTTCTCTCAGATGGTGGCGAGTCTTTGGAACTCCTTGCCATGTAGAGCTATGGGGACAGAGTCCTTATGTGTATATGAGGTTGCGATAGATAGATTCTTGATCAGTCGGGGAATTGAGGGTTATGGGCAAAGGGCGAGAAAGTGGTGCGAAAAGTGTCAGATCAGCCATGATCCTATTGAATGGTGGAGCAGGCTTGAGGAGCCGAACAGCCCACTCCTGTTCCTATTTCTTATGGTCTTAAGAAATAAAAATGCTCAAATGGAATGTGCCAGTTTCCATTGAACAGAAGAAGAGGAATGTGTGCGTCTCTCTTGGGGATACAAGCAGGTCACACTAACAGCGGCTTGCATTATGTCTATTATAGAAAGGTTAACACTCTGTTAAAGTAGTGGCAGTGTTAAGTGTTTGTAAGGTAATACTTCACGTTAATCGATTTTGTTTCAAAGTGCTTTAAGTCGCCTTGAACCCTTTCAATTTCCCAAATTTAAAGAAAACTATTTGAAAGGTCTGGTTTTTCCCCTCCTTCCCAAAGTGAGGTATAATCCAGGCCAGCCCATGAGTTGTGTCTAATGTTGTGCATTACTAAAAGAAATGGGATGCTACAGACTTCGAGAAGATTTGTGTATCTTACAGAGTCCAGACGGAGCTCCGATTGCATTGAGTCAAAAATGGAGGAACCGAAATTGCCAGCAAACCAAGACATCTCTATCAATCCACTGTTTGACTGCGATGGTGATCACTCTTTGGAAAATTCTATAACGTTCAACATTCCACTCAAGGAATTTACTCATGATCCAGCCTCGGTTGTAGTGATGCCGTACACCTCATCATATTTCATGGGTAATTAGACCTTTTACAACATATTACTTTGATCTGAGGCAGCATTCTCTGTTATGGATTTGCATGAGCTTAATTCTCAATGGAATGAAGACTCACATTTTACTGAATGCATTCTCTCTGTTATTGTCTTTTGAAGCCTAATAATGGAATTTGATTGCTCAAAATGAAAGTTTTTGTCCTACACTTGATCAGTAGGAGAAAAAGGGCCTTGAGTCACTTTATCCTTGGTCTGTGGAAGGTGTTAATTTGCATTGTGATAAGGTTCTATAGGGGGCAACTGCTTGTTGGTTCCTTGGACTGTTCTTTGTGTGTGACTGCTGACCAGGAATGTTGGGCATTTAACTGTGCAGAGCACTTTACTGAACTCTGATCCTGCTCCCTTCTGACATCCCACATTTTGTAGCATTTCCCAGTCATTGGTCACTGGATGGTGCTTAGGAATGGGGACCCTGCCTGATATTTCCCCCTCCATGATCCTAATCTGGTGCACTAGAACATTGCAGTGACCAGACCGCTGCCTTTGCTAAAATCAACCAACTCAATTCAGATGGCGACTGAACTCCAGGGAGCTCTGACGATTAAGACTGTAGCTTTTCAGGTTTGAATGGCTTGATAGTAAGTCAGCTAAAACATCTACCCTCTGAACCAGCTGAACCAGCTCCCTTTTAATTGGCTACTTTGTTAAAAGGATACTGTCTTTTTGAATTTCCTTTCCATATGTCAAATGAAAATGTCAAATCAAAAGCCTTTCTGATAATTTGCAGAGTCGAGCAATTAGTCATCTGAAGGCAATGATTCTGATGAGAATGAATTGGAAACTCCTGAAAAGCATAGTGCCTCCTTCATTCTCATTGACTGCTGTACATTTCTTCAGACACCCCAATCCTTAGCTAACTGTGTGATTTTTGAACAGAATATTGCATTTCCATCATGCTTGGTTTGGACAGTTGGATGTGCATTGGTGTAAACATCAGAGCCTTTCGTTACTGATAGTCAAGGATTGTGAGGTTACCTGAGAAGAATCCTAGTAGTGAACCTATTCTGTTCTCTGTCATACCATACAGTTGCCATTGAGAGCAGATAAATCGAACAACTCCAGTGGTTTGCTCAGTAAATGCCCTGATCGCTATGTTACTAAGCCATACAAACCGTCGTGAAGATCCCAATTTCCTGGTTGATCTCATTTAGTTAGCCAGTCTTGGGTAGAGTGCTACAATTAGGATCAGGGCTCTTGGGCTAGAAGTGTGGATTTCTGTTCCTTATCACTACTCAGTGCTTCCCCACCTCCATATCTCCCTGATATAAAGTACATATGGGTAAACATCAAATATAGGATAGGTTTGCCTGTAATGGCTCCCACAGTCAAATAGGCTCCAGCACTCTCAATCTAGACTCATACGTGAAGAATGAACACTTAGACAGGGGACGACAGTGCTACCAACGCTTGTCGGCCCAAGTGAATCTCTTCAGGAGAAGGGGAAAAGAGGGAGGCAACAAAGAAATTGTAGAGTGGATCGGAACTTTTTCAGTGTAGTTTGGGAGTGGGGATCAAGGAACGCTAAAGGAGAATGCTGAGTTTTTTTGCCCTATCTTGATCTCACGTGCCTTCCCTGGATGTGAGATTAGTTCTCAGGCACCTGACTATGCTGCTGCATGACTAGTGAATTGACAGTGTGCAAGAGTGTCTTGAAGAAAATATGTAGCGCACAACTATACGCTGGATATCTGAAATGTTCCTTCTGTGGTCTAAATAGCAAAGGTGGAAGTTTCTTAACTTGCTCACTATATAATGCTTTCCTTTCTTCACTAATTCTGTAGAGCTCTCTGGTGAGTCGGATAATGAATTGAATGACTGCCATGATGCAGAGGTGAAAATGTCTCTGAAGCAGGATGTCTCCACCTTCTCCCTCTCCGACTCCACACTTGCTCCTTCTCTTGAAAGTTTGAATGTTTTCAAATCTTCATTTAATGAAACTCAGACTTCAGGCTCCCTCCTGATGACACCACGTACATCATCACCAAGAAAAGGTAATCTGATTCCCTTTTAAAACTCTTGTGAGATGTGAGTGTCTTTGGCAAGTCCAGCATTTATTGGCCATCCCTAATTGCCCTGGAGAAGGTGATGGTGAGCTGCTTTCATTGAGTTGCTGCAATCCATACGGTATAGGTAGACCCACACTGCT